TTCCCTACATCTATTTTAAGAGTTTTTTGATCTTATAAAATATGCATTTATTTAGTGTTTTCTAATAATGAAATAGTAGGCCTGGTCATCAGAATTTTTTTAAAGCTCAGGATGATTTGAATGTACAGTAAAGGTTGAAAACTACTGATGTAGATGATAAAATTATAGATTTGGGATTTTTTTTTAAAGTTTGTTTTCCATTACAGCAATTGACATGTGGTCTGCAGGTGTCATATTCCTTTCTTTGCTTAGTGGACGATATCCATTTTATAAAGCAAGTGATGATTTAACTGCTTTGGCTCAAATTATGACAGTTCGTGGATCCAAAGAAACTATCCAAGCTGCTAAAACTTTTGGTAAACAGTTTTATATTATAGAACAAAACAAATGTCTTTGATTATATCTGACAAATTACTTTATAAATTATTATGAAATTCTCTTTACAAACATTCTATATTCATAAAGTTCTCTGGTATTAGAAAATTTCTCAGTTGTTTAAAAATTAATTGCATTATATAAGAAAATAATTTTCATCACTTCTATACATATAATTATTTAATCTTATCAAGCACAAAGTGCTACACTTCTCCAATGGTTAAAGTTTAACTTTATAATCTTAAAAGAACAAGGGATAAAATCTTAACTCCCTATAGTTGTAGTTTGACTTTATTACATAAATACTAATAATAATATGTTTTAATTTGTTAATTGATTATTTATTAAGCGTCAGGTGCTCTTGGGCCGGCTTTAAATGGTTTTAGTCTATTGTAACAAGTAAAGAGTTCATTATAATACAGAGTAATAAGGACGACAGTAACAAAGATAATAGAATGTGTGTTGTCAGATGCCTTAGGGTTCGGGCAGCAGAGAAGAGATGAACAGAACACCTGTACTGATGTAGTATTACTATAAGCATATATTGGACGTGGGAAGTCATCTCCTTAGCTCCACAAAGTTCTTCTAGTTCAAGACTGGGATATACCGTGTACTTTGTGAGGCACTTGAGAATTACTTCAGCCTTGCTTTAGCCAACAGCTTGAAATCAAATGCCCACCTTGTGTTTATTCTCCATGCACAATTATGGTTAATACTTTCCAAAGTGCATGGGTATGATTGTGTCAGTGTGCTACCACACAATATAGAACACCCCTTTGGGACAAAATTTCAGTCAGCCCACCTCAAAAGTAGCTTAGCTGCCTTGAGCCCAATCCCAAGATCAATGGGTCTTAATCAGAGATGCAATTGGAATTATCTGAGGAACTTCAAGAAATATATATATGCTTGTCTCACCCCCACCCCTTCCTGGACAACATGATTCAGAAAAATATGTGTATATGGTCCAGAATTGTTAGTTTAAAAAAACAAGTGATTTTATATATGCTAGGTACTATTATAGCGTCTCTGTCCTTATAGAGCTTAAATTCTAATGAGGAGGACAAAATAAAAAATAGACTCAGTAGTATTGAGAAAAAGGGGAAAGGAAGTGAAGAGGGCTCAGCTATTTCAGATAAGTTGGTCAAGAAAAGCATCTGTCAGGATGTGATAGTTGAATAGTTACGTGAGATGCCGAATAATGCCTTTGTCCAGTCCAGCAGACGTTAATTGAGAACCCAGTATGTACCAAACATTGTCTTGGTTTTGGGGATTCAAAGGTAAATAAGTTGGTCCCTATCTTTAAAGAGCTCATAGTCTAGTAGGCGAGACAGACATATGTTTTATCAGTTATAGTATAGGATAGCAAAAGTAATAGAAATCTTCGTTGGATACAACAGAAGTTTAGAATAATCAGGTCTCTGAGAGTGTTAAACCTCACAGAGGCAATTTTTGAGCTAAGTGTAGTATCCTGGGCACATGCGGGAATGTGAGGCATCCTAGGCAAAGACGGAAACCATGAAGTCAAAAGCATATAGAAGCTTAGTATGGGGAGAGGGAATGGAAGCTGCAGTTGATTAAGGATTACAGAAGGATACAATGAAGCTAAAGAAGTTGGCAGAGTGAAATGAGTCCTTACTTTAGTAAGTCACTGGTTTGTACTTACTGTCTCTCACTTTATGATTTGAGCTTCAACTATGTAGTGCAAAACAACTTAAAATAGCATGTGGTACTCTATCTCATCTTCAGTGTAAATACATCCACAAAGTACATGCTTGGACTTGGATGTTTCTCGTGAGAGAGGCTTCTGATTTATTCAAATAATATAAAATATGTGTATTTTTTCTCTTTTAGGCAAGTCAATATTGTGTAGCAAAGAAGTCCCAGCACAAGACTTGAGAAAGCTCTGTGAGAAGCTCAGAGGTAAAGAATCTAACACTCCTAAATTAGCAAGTGATATACAAGGGCCTGCTTCTCATGACCCAACTTGTTCGGAGAAGACTGTCCATAAAGCTTCTCACCTCACACAGACACCTCAAGCACAGCAGTCGGGGAATTCATTGTATAAAGGGAACAGAAATGCCTGTGGGGGTCGTTTTGATGTGCATACTACCAATCTAGAAGGCTGGGACGAGGTACCTGATGAAGCTTATGACCTGCTGGATAAACTTCTAGATCTAAATCCAGCTTCAAGAATAACGGCAGAAGCAGCTTTGTTGCATCCTTTTTTTAAAGATATGAGTTTGTGATTATTGTTCTTCATTTAATGTTTGCTGTTGTGTATTGTGAGGTGGGGTGAAAGAGTTCTTTGTATAGCCATAAGTTCTTGATTAGAGACCAGGGCAGGATGAATAATTTATTTTAAAATTTTAGTTTTTCTTCTCTTGGCAGATTCTAAAATATGGATTAAGATTACTTAAGATGCCTGGAGTAGTTCTTTGGACTAACAACATGATCTTTGAGTTAGAGTTGCGCAAGGAGAATCAGCTCTTAGTTTCCCTAATTACTTGTCACTGCCATATGCAGAAAAAGGAGCATTTTTGGACTAGTACGTAGGAGTTCAAAGTGCAAGTCTTACAATTAATGGGTGTTTTAGAGATTCAGTGAGTCAAAAAGCTTTCTTTATTGGTTTATTTGAACTATGAGCTGTGTGTACTTTTGGAAGATTCAACCTGGTGCTGGTGCTCTAACCATTCTGTATGTTAAGAAAATAATGTCCACTTCAAGAGGCATAATTTCTTCCTTTTATGAACACTAAAACAATTAATGAGAAAATGTTTGGGGGGATATCACTTAAAGTTAAATTTAATTTATTCATTTTTTAAAGTATTTTGTGAATTTATTGTGAGAATTGCCATGTTTTTCTTAATGGTCTCTCTTGATTTTTCTGCCTTCTCTACCTCCACTTTACAAATTACATGGTGCTTTCCACAAGGTTTCTGGGTGCTTTGTTAAATATTGTGTGTTTACAGTTGAAAACTTAAAATAATGCATGCATTGGTTGATAAAGGGAAGCCACAGGACCAAAGTGATGATTGATAGTCCAAAATTTTTTGTTATTCTCTGAATGTTTTTTTTCACACCATCTTCAGTATAATTAGGTAGCTGCTAAAAGGAAAAGTGAACACAGAATTGAGACTACTATTGGAGATTTTTCCTCTGCCTAGAGCCATCCAGATCTCTATATTCTATTTTGACTAAGTTGGTCTTGTCCAGAGAGGTTAATTACCAGAGTCTTGGTTGAGATGGGAAGAGAGATAATGAAGTAGGCAAAGTAGGAAAGGACAAAAGAGAGAGGTTTATGTATTATTATATTCCAAAATGATATATATCAATGACAGCATATCACACTTCCTATGAGAAATAAGTCTGAGAATATTGACCTGAGAAGTTTCTCATTTAGTAGTCATAGTAGTCATAAAAACAGCTTAATGATATATAACATTTATTTGGTTATTTTGAACATGGAAGTCCGTACATCTACCTGCTCTGTTTGGTAAGTACAGTATATATATGAACCATTACCATTGATCTACTCTCTCATCTTATGCTGTAGTCTTTTAAAAAAACAAACTTCAATGTTCTTGAATTTATATGTTTAATAAAGTTATCTTTTTATATTTTTTATGTCAGGCTACTCATTTGAAAAAGACCTTTTCTTAAAATAAGTATTGACCACTGGAAGTATTTTCCTGGTGAGATTGATGAATGCTCTCTCTTCAGCAAATAGTAGGTAGTAGATTTTTTAAAAATTCTCTTGCTCAAGTAATATATAGAAGATAGAAGTAGATTTTTTTTAATAGAAGAGGAGCTTGTTGACTTCATTTATAGGATGTTTGTTACACGTAATAAAGCAGTAAACCATCTCAGTAACTAAAATGAAGTCTTAGCTAAACAAAATTTTCTAAATGTGACTCACAATCAAGTTAACATTCTTAAAAAATTAACATGAAGAAAAATTTAATTACCCAAAGGAAGTGCAAGGAAGGAGAAATTCTCTAAGAAAAATTAATATTCAGGGCTGGCTATTTTTCAAATTCTCATTAATGTCACTTTTAGACTAGCACTTGGTTGATACACAAGGAGAGGTAAAGGAGGCTAATGTTTTTTAAAAACATATCCAGTATTACAAATTAGTTCTCAGGTAATTTTAGTCCCACTAGAGAATATTGCCTCAGTTTGGGGTTCTATCTAGGTAAAATTATCAAGGAACTTCCATACACATATCATTTAGATTTTTCGGCCTTCCAAATACCATTTTATAATGACAGATATTTCCCTAAAAGATTTTAATTAGGTAAAATGGTCATTTTAAGGGAAAGATTAAGAAGGTAAATAGTTAATACCACTTTCTTTTATGGAGGTTACCAGAATATTCAGCTATTTTTCAATGTCAGCTTTTTAAAATTCTTATTGTACAGATTCTTGAAATTAAACTGTTAAGGGTGTTTTCATTTAATCCTAGACATTTAGAACTATTACTATAACAAGTTACAAGTATTGGTTTTCAAAATAGGCTTCAACTCTATAGCATTTTTAATGAAATGTTTCCTTATAAGGAGATGATTATGGTTGTCTTAATGACCTGAATAAAAATATGGCTCAAGAATGGTTATTCCAGAGAAGTAAACTTAGTTTATTTCAAAATCTGAACAAAAGTCATCAAGTGATGTTAATCTCATGTTTCTGGCATCTGCATTTTGGAAACAAAATGGTGTTATAGATGTCAGAATATTGATTGCATAAAATCTTGAAACCCACAAAACTCATAGGCTTAGGACTTAGTAATTTCTGCTGTTTATGTAATTTCAGCCCTGCACGTCACCGAAAAGTTATTTATCTTAAGAAACTGTGGCCAAATTTGGCGGATAATGCTGTCTGCCAGTGTCTGTAGATGTATTGTTTCCGCCTACAATTGTGTGTGCTGCCTGTGGTCTTTAAAGAACACTAGCTAATAGAAACGTCAATTCTATTCAGATTTTTAACTGTGTTCTTAGAACTGATGTTGCCTCCATCCTAATTTTGTCAGATTATGTGTTTGAACTGTCTGCTTTTCTGAAAGGTAGATATCACCTATGTACTAGATAAGTAATCATAAGTAGTTAATGCTGTGTCAAATTATAGCAAGATTTTCAACAGAGTTACCACAGAGGTCAGTGCTAAGGCAAATATTTAGTAAATAATGACACTTTAGATATTTAGAGTAAAAAGACATCTTAGAAAAGCAACAGCAAGTTGGGCGAGAAAATTATAAAAATAAGGTTCAGAAAAGTGATTACAGAATAATTTGAGCTTAATTTGACCTGCAAACTTTTTTTTCTCAGAAGAAAATGAACTAAAAGAATGCGTTGTCCTTGACCTCTGTTTTGAGTGTTTTAAAAATTTAACAATAATATATGGAAAATAATTCAAAAGGATAAGCAAAAATTTATTTGGAAATTGTGTACATAGCTATTATAAGACAAGAAAGATGACTAGAAAACCGATGTCAGTGGTTTAGAATTTCGATTTAAACTTATACCATGCATAAAATGCCCTTTTAAATTTAACACATTATGCTGTGCCCTAGCTCTTAAGCAGATTCTATCTCGGGCCCTACTGAAGTAATTCTTTGAGGAAGGTAACACGTTTCACACAAGAAAATTTAATGCTACTTTGTGAAAGCAAATAGAGAATAGTTTCTAGATTCATTTCTAGTTCTAGATTTAGAGAAGGCCAATATCACTCTAGTAGGGAACCAGGGACAAATCAAGGGATGGACTTATGACATCCTGAAATTAACAGTAATAACATTGTCAGCTGGTGGGGTGAGTAGCACAAATAGCAAAATAAAAGAGTCATTGGTAATTTCTTTCTAATCAGAATTTTTGTACATGTTCCTTATCTATATTCTGTTGGTGTGTTTTTATATGTGTGTATTTAATTATGTATTCACCCTTTGTGTAAATTCCTTCTATAACTTTCTGAAGTCTGTAGCATATGATCTAGAAATGACTCCAACTAGGACAAGACCAAGACAGTAAATCAGAAACAGATGCATGGTTTTGTAGCCTCACATTGTTGTTTTAGCTCTGTCCATAAGCAAAAGGAGCAGGGCCTGGTGAATCCTGCCACCTACGTATTTCTCTAAACATTCTTAGTTCCTTTTACTTGGTAGAAGTTTCTTCTAGCATGTTGCTAGTCTTCCTACACTCAAAAGTTCTGATTAAAAACAAAACCAGTTCCACGGTATTTGTATGTGTATGAGTAATCTTTAGACAAGTATTAGCAATGCTGCTTTACACTTTTCTCCAAGCTCGTGATATAAGTCTGATATTCTGTGAGTGTTCTTTTTGTCATTTTAATGTTTTACTTTAAAACTTCATAAATGTCCATATTAAATTTGTTATCACTTCTTTGTATGAAAATAAACAGCGTCTTAAATCTCTTGTGTATTATGAGGAAGCATCTTTCATGTTTGTCCCTATACAGCATGACTAGACTAGTACCTGGAATTATTGAGTGGGTGTTCAATGATTATTTGTTGGGTAAATGCATTTAAGTTACATTTAATTAATTTTCTTTCTTGGCAAAATATTAAGCCGCAAACCTTAGTAAGGGTGCCTATTTGCCTAACTTTGGTGCAGTTATTTGATAGGGAGTAACACCAAATGGTAAGAAAAATGAAATGACTCATACCTCTTTATATAATCTCTTTCCAATAAATATGTAATTTAAATGAAGGCAAGAGTTTGATGCCAGGTTTTAGGTTCAGAAAAGCCTTAAAAAGGGGTCTTTGGACTTTGAGTTGCCACTCACTACCATGCCTTTCCCTCGTCTCTATGTATTCTAAATGTATTTGTTTTTATTGGTTATCAAGAAATCCACTCCTCCCTCTACAAAATCTTCCCTGATCACACCAATCCAAATGATCATTTCCTTGATTTCCTATACCCAGATTATAAATTTCTGGAAGGTAGAGACTACTTTATGTCTCCCCACCCCCCGTCTTGCCCCGACATTTCATATCACCACATTAGAGACTCAAGTATTCAATCAAAACTTTGGGGTTGACTAGGAACCTGACACCAGGGTGTATTTCCAAACCTCATCTAGATTAATCTAAGATTTCCCAGCTCCCACCCCCATCCCAGCCGTATTAGTTCTAATTTCTCTCCATTCCAATTTGTCAATGCCCCTTTCTCATTGCTTTGACCTCAGTGGAGAGAGAACAGCTGGTGGACATTTTGTCTGTAATAACCCTTCATATCCTTGTATAAGAGGCAAGTGAGCAAAAATTTCGTGATGATCATATTCATGTTTTTAGCTCCTACTCTGTGCCAAGCATCATAATCAAAAAAATCAATTTGTTTTAAGGACTCGTAAGTATGTATAAAGTACTATGGGAAAGGATTACACTTGACTATGCTTTGCCAACACCATTCATCTTCATACATGCAGGACCCTATTCATCTTGGATTTTTCTGACACAGCTTCAATTCCCAAATGTCAGTTCTCGTTGATGTGTTCTGAGAATTCCAACATTTCTGCATCCAAATTGCATTTTGAAGAATTTCTCAATTAGAAGTGTGAAATTGTTAGAAATGCATTCCAATTTTTTAGCTCTGCAAATATGTCCATTATAACGTGGCATTTGAGGCTCTCTGTGCTTTGGGAACCAGCTGATACGTATGTTATTGAATAAAATGGAGAGTCTTCCAATGTCCTTTGAGCCCTGAATGGGCCCTTATGCATATTCATTGCGATTCTCACACTTAAAAGTATAAACGTAACAACTGGGGAATTAATGCCCCTTACTCATCCTTTGTCGATTAAAAATAAACCCCAATTACAGGCAGCATAACATGAAGGAGTCAGCCCAGGTTGGCTCTTCCCTGTACTGTGAGCCTCGGTTTCCTCAACTACAAAATGAGTTTTGTATGCCTGCCTCATCGTTTGGAGGAATAAATGAGAGCATGCTCCCTAACTATGGTGTTAACACAGTACTAATTATTTTTCTTCCTTTCTTCCTCTAGTTTCCATTCATCCCCGCCCCTATAGGGGAGCATGGCCTGAGAATACTCTTACATATTTCTTCCTTAACTTTTTTTTTAAGCACATCAGGGATTTTAAACTGTTGAATGGAAAATTGCCAAAATCTGGGATGCTATCACCCTTAAAGTAGCAATGCCAGTTTTCTACACATTTTGATGTCCTATCTGTCCACCAGATGGCAGGGGTTCCTTTGGCATGTTCTATCACCTGTCCAAACACGTTTGGACTAGTGTATCAGTAAGAAAAGAAACAGAAAAGAAGGCACACAAAAATACTGGTCCTTAAAACAAATTTTACCAGGGGAGCTAGTGATCATCTACCACACCTACCACACCCTCATCTTTTCCAGTCATAAACTCATATGTTCTGCTCTTTCTCCCCTGAGCTTTTGCATATCCTGCCTGTATATCTTGCATATTCCCTTGCCTATAACACTTTGTCACCAAACCTCAGCATCCGTCACCTAGATTACTCTTCAACCTTCAGGGCTCAGTTCAGAAACCACTGCCTTTGGGAAGATGTCCTTGACTTCTCATTTTGATTTCAGTGCAACATACCCTTCCTCTCCGACTCCCAGATCCTCCTCATCGTTCAGTACCGGGCTCAACTGTTGCCTCCTCAAAGAGGCTTCCCAGTTTACTTATTTATCATCTCTTCCTCTAAAATCTAGAACAGCACTTGGGACAATGAGACACTCAAAACTCTATGGTAAAGAATGACTGCTCCCACAGCACCCTGCAGCCTCATCTTTCCTATGTAACAGCATATATTCTCTTAATCTGTATCACTTACTAGACTGTAAACTTAATGACAACAAGAATCATGTCTATTTTATGCACCATTGTATGTCCAGTGCCTGGCCAATAATCAGGCCTCTAAATATTCGTTGAAAAATAAGCAGACGTAATAATAATATATGCATATGCACGTACTATGACTATAGTGAAGTGAATGATTTTGTTTGTGTTTTCTAAGGAGATCAGTGAAATAAAGGAAGAATGGTAACAGGGATTTATACATACTAAGGCTTTTTTTTTTTTTTGCTACAATAGCATCTGTACATTCAGTCAGCCAGGTGGGCTTTTGATAGCAGCTGCACTAAATAAATAGGTATTATGTTGGCCTGAATTCTTGAATAAATTTAGAATTAATGTCAAACTTTGTAGGCAGTTAAACAGTTTGCAGAGAGGGGTTTGAGAGGCCACAGAAGATTGGAACAGGTAGAAAAGATATTTGTGAGCAGCTGTCTGATGACCAAACAGATACGGTGATAAAAAAAAATATGCAACAGGAGAACCAATGTGGATTTAGACAGTTAGCTATGAGAAATGAGGCTGAAGTATAACATTGAGGGGAAAAGACACTCACTTGAATATAAGAAGCATTTCCAAAGATGCGCTCTGGGTTTTGAGCAGCACTTGATGCTCATATAAATGTGTGACAGAGACTTCTGTGAGATCCCAAGATAAAGATAGAACCAAGCTTTAGCCAGAGTCAAGAAAGGCCTAGGTCAGTTCGATTTTTTTTTTTTTTTAAAGATACCAATATTTTAAAAAGAATGACAAGATGACAAAGGTTCATAAAAATGGTCATTTTTAAATATTTCATCTAAGTAATATCTTTTAACATATATAATTTAGAATGTATATTATATGTTGTTAAGCCACATGAAATTAGTATTCCACCATTTTTTTACCTAGAAAAACAACTATCTCATGTAGTTCAGCCTAGTGCAACCTCACCTGGAAATAAATGTCAGCAATGTACATCTGAGGCCCTGCCTTTCCTTTTCATGACTGTGAGGACTGACCTAAGTACATCCCTGCCCACCTTGACTGCCCTAATACTGCCTGTGGCTTTAAGATTGAGGGTGTCTCATCTGTGTGTGAGCGTCAACTCTCAAGCTCCAAACAAAAGCATTCTAAGCTTTCAGACCCAGGGTTGGAGGCTGAACACCTGACTTAAAGCTACATTCTAAAGACGAAGCCTATGTATGTTTGAAAGGTAAAGAGGTGTCTGCTATATCTTTGTAAGTACAAATGCTGGGGGCTTCTCTGTCCCTAAGTAAGTTCCCACATCAAAGAAAATTCAGTGCCTGACACACAGTATCTACAGAAATATTAATTCACTAGTTAATTTTCTCCCTCAACTGATTACCTCCTCGCTCTCTATTACTAAGTATGATTCTGTTTCACTTCCCCTCCCACTTCGATAGTGAAAACCGTGCTAAACAACTTGAGTCTTTCCATTCCCTTTCCCGTGTTCTCAAATATATGTACTCTCCTCCCTCCTTAATCTTCCTGCTCCCTGCTTCCTTTCCTTCCTCTGCATCCCTTTTGCCCCTGTCTCCTCCTGTAACTGCCTACTAAAAAGCCAAAAGAATTGGTCATGTGTGAAGAAGCCATTACATTTCCCACCCCTATATCAGATCCTAAGTGGATCTTTCCTGACTCAAAGAGGTACACCTGGTGTTCTCAATAAAACCAGGTTGTTTTGATAATCCCAGTGGGACCAAGATGTTTAAACTCTTCTCACTCTCTCACCACCACAATGTGAGATGGAGCCAAATATGTTGCGACGCCATGGCCTCGGGCCTGCAACCCTTGAGTTAGGGAACTTGTAGCAAACTCTCGTTGTACAGCAGCAGTGTTATCAGCAAAGGACGCTGCCCTTAACCCTCTCAGAACTCTAGAGGGCTTTTTCCTTGTCTGTGCTCATAGATTTTCAGAAGTGCTTCCCTGATGGAACAAACATCTGAAATCTTCACAGGAGTGTAGGCAGGACTCCTCCGGCAATTCCCTTTTTCCTTCCAACATACCATGTTTATACAGTCCATCTAAGTGGGGTCTTGGCAATGGCACATGAGCCCCCTGAACCTGATGCTTCCCTAAATGAACATTTAAGGGGTGACAGATGTTTGACTTGGCAGCAGGGCTGCTGTAGGTGGAAATAAGAACATCGTGTTCCTTTCCACGTGGAGTCATGTATAGCTTCTCCAGCATATGATGAAGTGACAATAAGAAGGGAAATCTGGACTTTAGTTCTTTGGTTTCCCTCTGGAAATTTTAGGGACTCTCTCCATATTGTAAAACCCCATAGCACCCTGTACTTCTTTTGGAGCATCACTTCCTTTATCCTGCCTTGCATCGTCATGATTTATATGCCTATCTTTTCCTGAGCCAGGTCTTATTGATTTTCACATTCCGACCTCATCGCTTTCCCTCCCAGGGTCTAGCATAGTACTTTGCACAGAGTAAGCATTCAGTGACTTTGTTAAAATGTTTAAGTTGCTTTGGAGCTGTTTTCACCCAACCCTTCTATTACCCAATTTCATTTGGAGAACTTAGTATTTAAAATATCAGAAAGATGGGTGTAGGAACTCAGGTTAGGGGTATATACC